AAAAATACTACTCGACGCGCACGCGTGCCTGCAAGCAGCCTCGTCGACGGTGGGCGTGCACTGTGATCTCTATTGAAGAGTCTGGGTCGGTGGCCATATGAGTGACTCGCGTTGATTGAGGGGTGCTAGAGAAGGTGGAGCGTGAGTCTGGACTGGTGCCGCCTGCCTCGAATGCGCCAAGGCTTCCGCCCTTCGTGCGGCACGCACCCTGCCTGTTTAGGGGGCTGTACCACTGACATATGCCACCAATGCAGGGCGCTAACGTCCACCACGCCTCCGGCGCGAGCGGAGGCGGCAGTGGGGACGGCGCGAGCGGAGATGGCGGCGGCGGCAGTGGCGGCGGCAGCGGCAGCGGTGGCAGCGGTGGCGGCAACGGCGAGGGCGGGGGCGGCGGGGGCGGAGGTAGCGGTGGTCTCATCGGCGGCGGCGGCGAGGGTGGCGAGGGCGCTGTCTTGACGTAGCAGACGGTGTCCGCGACGGTTGTGTCGACCCACGTCGGCGTGCTCACCGTACCCCGATACGTGTTGCAGTGGTAGTCCTCCCAAACTGGATTGGTGGATGCAATCAGGCAGCGGGACACGCCTTTTAGAAGGCACATTGGTGGCGCCCAAAACTCGTAAGCGACGCAGAGCGTATCTCGAGCACACAGAAGCCGGCAATCGCCGTGCTTTCGCGTCACCGATATTGCCGAGTTGGACGTCTTTGTGTTGTACGTGCCGGCCGTGCCGCTTGAATCCCGGCATGCTCCTCCTCTTGCGCCGCCGGGCTGTTCCCAGAACCACATGCACAATAGCCGAGAGCGAGGGGACACTCGGCGTCCTCGCGCCAGGTCGACGTTCTCTGGAAACGACGCCGTCGAAAAGAATTTTTTCGGCACTATGCACGGGACTGGCGCGCACTGGCACTAACACAGGTACACCACGGGAGCCGAGAAAGAAGATTTTTTCGACGAGGCGATATAGCACACCAGGCTGTCGCCCTATCTCTCCAGGAGATGTCTGCTCTATTCATTTATTACAACCCTTTTCCTGGCTCACAAGCTGAAGATGTTCACGGGCCCCCACACGGAAGATGTCCGCATGGGGAGCCCCGGGTACTCTTTAGCTGTACTCGTCTAGGCAGGGGTTGCATTTATTAGCACACCAGATGGGACGATTGGACACAGGAAGACACAGTGAGCCGCCAAAGGTGTCGTTGGCGCACGTGCTGAGTGGCAGCTGCGCTGGAAACAAGGAAGAGGCGCCTTAGGTCGAGAAACACACGGCGAGGGCGACAGCAAGAGTCGAACGGGCGGCGCCTGAATCAAAAGACACGGCCACATCCCTGAGACGAGCGAGAGCAGCCTCCTCAAAGGCAATGGGGGTCTAGATTTGGGGCGCTCGCCGAAGAGGAGTACGACAAAATAGCGGCTCTGACACACACCGTGACAAACTCCCTCCCTCTCCCTCCCCGAAAGAAAGAGAGAGGGCTCGCAGGACTGGTGACGAGTGAACTGCAGGTAGTGGGGAAGGCAGCTTCGATCGCCATACAGACATGGGTACGAAACAACGACAAGACCAAGGCACGGGAGGAGCGAGAGAATATAGGATGGATAGGTCGCCCTCGTCCACGCTTCGCGTCCCCTTGGCGCTGGGGCCGGGTACGGCGTTTTCTTTTTCGAGCGCGCCGTCTGGCTTTTTCGCTTCTTTTCTCTCTGCGCGGGGGGTCCTCCGGTTTTGCTCTGCTGCGGCTGTTAGGCGCCTCTGGCTCTGGCGGCTGGTGCTGCTCCTGTCACTATTTCACTGTGTCGTGGGGCCGACGTGCGCGGTGGCCTTCCTCGGCCCTTCCTCACGTGACGCACGGCGAGAAAAGCACACACCACGCTGCGAGCGCCCACACTATCCACGCCCTCACTCCGCACGCAAACAATTAAGTTTTATTATTATGACAGCACACAATTAAATAAAAGCCACTGTATATGAGCTGCTGCCTCCCTGCTGCGATTTGACATATCCGGCGATGCGCGCGCGTTCCGTTCGTGCGTCGACTGGCTCCGGGTTCCCCCGGGGGGGCTCCTCGGCCTCCCCGTCTTCCCCGTCTGCTCGTCGCACGCGGCGCGCGCAGCGCCCCGCGCTGCCTTTTTGCTCGCTGCCTCCGTCGTCGGCCCGGCCGCTCCGCCCCCTCGCTCCGGTTCGGGCCGTGGGCGTGCTGCTGCTGCTGCTTGGCACTGTTGTCGCCATTTCCCATGCGCGCGCACTGTCTGGCTGCTCGGTTCGTTGCTCCCGTGGATCAGCAGCCGGTGGCGAGCCACCGGCGCGATTCGTCACGCAGCCTACTCCTACTACCGCGCGCGCGCGCGCGCAGGCCGCCGTGGGCACGGGTGGGGCGAGCGCGCGCATCATGATCTCGAGACGTGCCCGCCGTTGTTTGACTACCGTCGCTCTAGTCGGCCGGTTCCGTCCAAAAATTCTCTTTCACAACCCGCATGACGAGCCTCTCTTCCCGCAGCTTCAGCCGAGAGGCGCCATCGCGTCGAGAGGGCGCAGCGCCTTGTACCCGAACTGCGCGCAAAACTTGCGCCAGGCGCGCACGCCAGTGGACGATGCGCCCCCTTTCCCCCGCCCCGATCCCCCCACCCCCTTGGCCTTGCTCCCCTCCCCCCCTCGGGAGGGCCGAACTGAGGCGCCCGTGGGGACCCCGCAATTCCCTCCCCCCCTCGGAGGGGGCCGGACGAGGCGTACCCCGAGGGCCCCGCTCTTTCCTTCTCATAGCGGCCACTCTTCGGATCGCTGGTCGACCCGGGGGATGCCCCGCGCGCCTGACCTAGGCGCGAAAAACGAATCTGCGAGGCGTGGCCGCTCACGCGGCCCGATGGGGAGGAACGGGGCGAGCCCCCTCCAACCCACCCGCGCTAGGTCTCGGGTTTGACGCATGGGGTCACTCACACTCCCGCGAAACTCGTGAACTAGCCGGGGCAGTCGGAGAAGGGGCAACTCCGTGCACTGACGGTCGGCCGCCAGAAAACACGCCTGCGTGGATCGCGTCACACCAATCCTCGCTACCCAACGCGGCCAAAGGATATCCACCTCGAGAACCTCGAGAGTCGGACGGGGTCTCGAAAAATTCTCTTTTCACCCGGCCAAGAGATGCGCGCCGGCAACGTTCACCTGCAGCCCTTCCACCGGGTCCTCTCCGCGTCCCTCTCGCGGCGCTTCCCAGAGGCGATCGCCGAGGCCGGCGACACCGTCGGGCTCACCATCGACACGCTGCGCGACGTGGAGCGCGGCGCGTCGGCGCTCGTGCTGCTGTGTGTGGACTTGACGGAGCAGGTGCTCTCCGAGGCGGCTTCGGCGCGCGCCCACTTCGTGGTGACGTACTCGCCGATGCCGCACTCCCCCTTCACGACGCTCTCGACGGACGACGTCCTTGGCCGGATCGTGCTCGGCTGTGCAAAGCACCAGATTGCGGTGCACTCGGTGCACTCGGCGTGCGACGCGGCGAGCGGCGGCGTGAACGCCTGGCTCGCCCGCTCGCTCGCGCGCGGCGTCGTGCGCCCCATCGTCAAGCACCCGAAGGTTGCCGACGCCGGGCAAGGCCGCGTGCTCGAGTGCGACGAGGCGACTCCGATCTCTACGGTGGTGGAGCGGCTAAAGGCTTTGCTGGGGGTACGCTTCCTGCGGCTCGCGCTGGCCGCGGTGGTCGCGCCCGAGGCGCTCGCAAAGGCGCAGGAGTTCCTCACGGTCAAGACGGTGGCGGTGCAGGCGGGAGGGGAGGGAGGGGAAGGAGAGGGAGGGGGGGAGGGGCGGAGAGGGGGGGGGGGGGGAGCGTCGCCATCAGCTCACCTGCCCACCCGCTGCCGCGCAGGTGGGAGAGGGCGCCACCCTGCTGCGAGGCTGGACGGGGGACTTGCTGGTGGGGGCCTCCCCCCTCCCTCTCCCTCTCCCCCTCCCCCTCCCCAGCGCGTAGCACGTGAAACCCACATGCCCATGTGCCCATGCCCTCTCCTCTCGCTCGACCCGCCTCGATCGGCCTCCGCCTCCCCCGCCCCGCCCCCGCGCCAGATCACCAGCGAGATGTCGCACGCCGACGTGGTCGCCGCAAACGCGCAGAACGTCAACGTCATCCTCACGGGCCAGTCGACCATCGAGAGAGCCTACCTGCAGTACCTGCGCCAGGCGAGGCTCGCCCGGCACTATTACCCCCCCCCGCCCCCCCGCGA